TTATTCACACACACACACACACGTGTGTATATATTTGGCAACATATATATTGAACCAATTGAACTAAAAAAGGGTTCCCACCCCCTTGCCCGTTTACTTTTGTGTAGGACCACGTCAATGCAGTCCGAGGCTAACTTGGGTCAAAAAAAAAAAAAAGAGCCATCCAATGGCACAGAAGGATCAGCTTGAAAACTAAATATTCCTTCGGTCTTAAATATAAAACTTATTTTATAATGTAATTAACACTAATTATACTAAAAAAAAGTCATATATTTAGAACCGGAAGAATATATTTGAAGATAAAAATAATACACAAATCTCTGAGAAATTAAAGAGGATATGGTATGAGATAATTAGATGTGTATCAAGTTGATATTTTTGTGCAAGCAATTTGTTGAACACATTGTTTATGATTGACCTATTTAATGAAGCAATGGGGTCAAAGATTAATTACATGTCTATCTGATTCATAACTATCGAACTTGAAGGCCAAGTGGATAAGCAACGACTTAAGTTGCATTAAATAGAAGTTCATTCATCATTCACTTCGCCACATTACTTAGTTGATCTTCCTTGACGGCAATCCAATAAACAATTTGAATAAATCGAGTAGAATTTATCTCCTCTTTTATAAATTGTATAATTAATAGTTCCATGAGCAAGCTACCTAGGGAGAAAAAGTAATAAAAGCAAGTTTATGTCCTTTTTTTAAATTTAAAAGTTTAAGTTGGTTGATCCCTTCGTTTGTTTTTGTTAAGGGTTTATGTCATTAATATAAGAGCTAGTTAATTAATTTGATAAAATTAAAAAATTAAAAAAAATTACTTCTACAGTTCTTAATATAAGACCTAATTAACTAATTTGAATAAATTAAAGATGTATAAGTTAAATTAGTCAACATGATATGTTTTTTCTGAAATATCATAATCATCTTCCTTAATTCTTTTTCTCCCTCTCCTAGTTGATTGTTGTTGAGAAAAAATTGATAAACATGAGAAATATATCTTACATATAGAACTAATATCAACTCTCAAATTAGGTCTTACATAAAAGACTAGAATAGTACTTAATTATATAACTTATATGACATGATTTTTCTGAAATACTTATATGTATCATTAGATTATATATCAATTTATAAGCCAAATAAATTAGTCTGGAGGAAAATGATAAATATAATATTTTAAAATAATTTATTTAACTTCATAAATCTCTCCAAATTAGTCAATTGAATTTTATATTGAGGAGGTAGTATATAATTAATTCTTCATCATAAACAATTCAAATCCATTACTGCTTTTGATCTCATATACAAGCAATAATTAATCAAATAAAATATGTGGGAAATGTAATTTATTTTCTAAACATACCCTTGTTTGTGAAAAGAATAAGTGGGAGATAATGTCTGATCATTAATGTGAAGACGTATCTTATATACCCTTTTTAGTTGTTGGAAAGATGAGTTGAAAATGAACAAATTTAGACATTTTGTTCATTTCCAAATAGAATTAATACGTTTTAAAGAATTTCATTGATTTTGGTGAAGGTCCTAGAAATAATTAAGATATTTGGCTCAACTTATATTACCTCTGCAAGTCTTATTTAAACATGGGATTATGTGATCAGTCATTTATAAATGAGATGACTGATGACTGCATGAATTCCTTTCATCACATGAGAAATAATATTTAAAAAAAAAAAGACTTGATGGAGTATTAAAATGGACTCTAACCTATTTCATAAATTTCTTATCAATTGAATGGATTGGAGGGTTTAATTCATAAAGTCAACCCATAAGTTTAGAAATGCATGAATTGAAAGAGCAATAATGGTTTTTGGTTCAAAAAAAAAAAGAGCAATAATTGCAGAGGGTACAATAACTTGAGTAGTTGTTTGGATTAGTTTAGAATATGTTTTTTTAACGTTTTATAAGACAAACTCCTCTAATATAGTGCAGGATTACTTCTACATGATAAATCCGGACGGATACCAACCATACACATATAAACTCACATATATGTTTTTCTTTTGTCACCCAAATAAGAAAAAACGCATATATTGATGGTCAAAAATTGCAAATCTTTAAACAAATCTAAGTTTTTGGATTATTTCAAGGAAACCCATGTCCCTACCTCTTTAATGTGATTTTCTTTTTATACGAAAGTTGCTTCTTTTTGCGCATTAATTATTCTTTTGAATGTTTTTAATTATGTTAGTCTTTTTCAATTTCAAATAAAATGATATTTCATCCAGCCGCTTAACAAAAGGACTTGAACAATGGAGACCAAAGAGTGGAGAGCTTCCACTAAGGCCTGCCTGCCTTTCTTTTGTGAGATTATGATTAGATTATTCAGTTCAATTAAGAAAAATATTATTATGATGAAAAAAATCATTATTTTCATAAAATCATTCTGACAGCAGCAGCTTAAAAATGCAGAATTGACGGCTCACAAAAGTCAACAAAGAAGGACCAATCTTGTTTATATTATCCCCACCTGCTACCAGAAGATTTAAGAGGGAAAATGACATTTTGGGAAACAGTTAATGGGATTTAAAAATACGGAAAACCATATTGAAGGTATCTATACTTTCTCTCAATTTTTAATTTGGTACCTATGTATTTTTTTCTTTTAATTAAACATTTAATTTTATCTTTTTAGCAACATTAGCTCTTATAACTTTGTTCTATTGATATTTTTAGTCTCTACATAAAGATTAATGATGTTAATAGAGGAAAAATAAAGATTTAGTTAAGAACAAAAAACACATAGGTACCAAATTGAAAATTGAAAAAAAGTATAGGTACCTCCAATATGGTTTTCCCTTTAAAAATATAATATTGACTTAGATTTCATCGAAATTACTTTATTTAATAGAAATAATAGAAATCCAGTTAAAAATCACTGAAATTCAATTGACAAGGATATTTAAGTATTATTATTTTTCTCATGAGATCTCAAAATGTCATTTTCTCAAATTACTGCAAAAATTTTATAGTAACTACAATATGTTTATATCACATAATGAAGAGTTAATTTGCTTTTAAACCCTACATAATTTTTAACTTTCTTATTTTTTCACATATTTTCATGAATTAATATGGTGCGATCTTCATTTTTTCAAATTTAAATATTAAAGATGAATATAATTTAAAAACCTTTAAATCATTATCTCTAAAAGATAACTAACCTAGTTTCGAATATATATTAAAAAAAATTTGAAAGTAAAATAAAATTTAAATAATCTAGAATACAATTTAATAGAAGAAAAATTACACAAAAGTTCTATGTAAGAAAATTAAATACATTCAAACAAATTATATGTACAAGCCTAGCAGTATCATTTTTTTTTTTCATTTAAATGGACAAGCAGGTTATGAACAAGATGGAACATATTACCTCTTATTTGTAAGAGAGGTTTTATGTCACTAAGATATAAGATTGTTGGCCTATTATTGCTGGGTTAAACTTAAACTTGTAAAATTTGTAAAAAAATAAATTTTTAAGGACCTTTTTGTGTTGAATATTTTTAATCTAAAACTTAAAGATAATCCTTCAACAAAATACTCCTCCAATCCTACATATAAAATCTTTATATTAGTGCCAATTATCAAAAAATCTAAAAGACCATGAGCATCTCGGCCAGGCAATAGAATAAACATTCCCTTTCAGACAATTTGTTGGGACATGGCAGAGAAGCTAGCGTTCGTTAAAATCGGAATCTGGCAACAGTAAAATTACGGAGGCTGGATAAATTAATTAATTACTGAATAAAAAAATAGCATCTTTTAACTAATTTTTTTTATTAATACTATTATAAATTTTAAAATCCACTTATGATAATTTGATTTGAAGTAAGTAGATTAAATACTCCTCCGGTTCTTAATATAAAACTCATTTAACTAATTTGATTAGATTAAGGAAGTTAGGTAAGTTAATTAATTATAAGAAAAGTGACACATTTTTCCTAAAATACCATAATGATCTTTCTAATACCCCATCTCCCTCTTCTACTTGATTATGATTGAGGGAATATTCATAGGAATAATTTAGAGAAAATTGATAAATATAATAAATGGGTCTTATATTTAGGAACAAAACTAACTCAAGAATTGAGTCCTATATTAAGGACCGGAGGAGTATATAAGATCAAGAATATAAGGTTTCTGCTTGATTAAAATAAGAAAAGATAGATGGAACATAATTTTATATTCTACTCTATATAATATTATGAGTTTCCTGGCATAAAAAGAAATAGAACCATGCTTTACTTTCTGACTGGATAAAACTAATATAGAAAGGAACTTCGATAAAATAATTATAATTCTTTTTAATGAAATTTAAATAAATTTAACACTATTCATTTGTTTCGTTTTAAAATACTGAACGAAGTTAATAAAAGCAAAGCAAACCAATCGTTATCGCCATTGGAGAGAAAAAAGAAAGAAAAGAAAAAAAATCAATCAGAAATCATTTGAGAGAATCATCCCAGTGAGTATCAAGGAGGGACTTTGTTGCCCAAGAGTGGGCACAGTTCTTCTCCTTGCAGGGCCATTCCCACAATTCAATAATGGAATTTTATCGTACTAAACGTGCGCCAATCAAACTTTCTTGAGGAATCTTGTTGCTTTCACCTTTCTAATAAGGCGAGTGTGCCAGACATTACACCAACCATAGAGTACGGCTTTTGAAATAGATCCACACACTATTCAACATAATCATCTACCACCGCACATTGTCATTGAATATGGACACCCACATTTTGCTTTGTGACTCACAGTAATTTATATAAAAACTTGTTTAATTTTTATTTTGATCTTAATAATAAAATCCTAATCTATTTTGTCTTTTATATTTATCTATTTTTTTCAATGGTAATACTATCTAATATATTTTATTAGTAAAAATATTTCAAAAACAATATATATTTATTACAAATAACTAATTTAATTAATTTTTTTAACCTATTTAAATTAATTAATTAGAAATTGCCACTAGTAATTGTTTCCATAAGGCAATATTACTTGCCTTATTCAACTCTGATCATTCATGCACTTCACAAAAGTCATTAACATAATCACAGGCTTGCTGAGAAAATTGGGAGACAGGGTAACTTTACAAGGGAAGCAATTAAAACAAAAACAAAAACAAAATTGTAACGGTTGGCTGTAGTTCTTCAGGAGAGATTTCGGAAAACAAACAGATTACAAAGAAAAGAAAAAGAGCATCGAAAATCCTGAATGATGCTGATGGCTTGATGGTTTCTGTCTCCAGTGAGAGAAACCATTACAACTATGATTTTCTAAGTTGTGTTGCCTCCTCTTTCTTCCTTGGCTTTGCAAATTGAGTACCCTACCCTACATGTCTTTCCTTCGAGCTATCCAAGAGCTAAATACTTGTCTGTTTCAGGCCATTCTGGTTTGTGGGCAAATTTTCACCCTCCCAAAAAAAAGTGCTTTGAGCATGAAGCCTCCTAACCTTACCTAACATCTCACCAATGCATTAAGGAGTGTCCCCTTGAAATTACTATATACTCCTATTGCCTTGCACTTGAAGCTAAGCTGTCATCTCTGCCAGGAATCAAGTTGAGCTTCCTTCATGATGAAAATCCATACGGATTAGACAGTCCTTTCACCGGAAATTAATCCTCAAAAGGGATGGTCGTGCAGACGAGTTTCTCACAAAAATATCTGCCTGAGATTTTTCACTTCAGATGTGGGACACCAGAATTAATTAAAACCTCTACCTTTTTTCTCAAAATATCTCCCATGACTCGTCTCCTTCACTACAAAATTCCAACCATAAGCTCAAATAAGAACTTTATCATGGGAACATGCAGCAGAACAATGAATTTGAAATAATTCTTTTATAATAATCTTAAACAAGAAACATGTGAACAGACATACATCTAGCAGAAGGTACATCCAAATTATTCAGCGAGATCCCAAAAGGAGAAGACGTAGTCCCTCTGTACAAGATACAAGAAGCTAGATTTTAATTTCGTTCTTATCTTGAGGACAAGTTCTAAGAAATCTGTGCAAAGAACTTCCTCCATGCAACGCGGATAATAAGAACATAATCTGCCCATCATTCCCATCAGATTCTACCTGATTCTGAAGTTCACGATACTTGGCCACAACATCTTCTGGCAGAACTTGGTTCCTGCAAAGAGGGCAGGTAGCCCAATATTGCTGCAACCACTTGTCCAAGCAATCTCTGTGAAATGTGTGTTTACATTTCAAGTTCCTCACCTTTTCCCCTTCCTGGAATTCAGATAAGCACACCCTGCACTCAGCACCTTCTTGCCTCAACCTCTTGGTGAAACAAATTGTGGGGTTCTTCTGTTCGATAAGTTTGAGATATTGGGTGGTATTAACTGGACGTGTGTCTGACCTGAGCTTCTTTACGAGACCATAACTTGTATTAGAAGCAGAGCCAACAGGACTACGGCCTTGGTGCAAAGTTGAGAGAAGATCTCAGAGAGAGCCATCATGGCTTCAGGTGAGGAATTCCTAAATGCATACGATATCTTATAATGAAACAG